AGCACGTGGTTGCTTAGCTGCAAAGGGCCTATTGTCCATCCATTATAACAGAATGATTTGCATTTAAAAAAACATTTTTATTATGGCTAGAGTGATTTTAGGGGATGTGACACAGGACGCAGTAGTAGTCTACCTTTTCTCTTGTATAGTAGCCATGTCTCTTTTGATACTCTGTTCAATCTCTAGAGCTATAGAATCTTTACCATCCTGTAAAAAAGAACAACCGTTTTAGACAAGGTTGTCAGATCTGACGAAAACATGACAATGTACAAAGCGGCTTGTCTAGACTTTACGTTCTCGAGATACTATTTCTTGTATTTTAAAGAAATTTAAGTAGGATAGGAAAGGGGAAAGGGAGGTGGACACCCGGAGGTGGTAACAGATTTTCGAGAAGATGGGAAAGGAGGGGGGGGAGGGAAGGGGGGTTACCAAATATGCGAAATGGTTCCACAGGGGATGACTATATAATCTCACTCTCCCCGACACACTAACCCCATACCTAATCAATCAAATATCTCTTATTAGAATTGCTGTACTTACAAGGTTTGCGGCAGGTGAAGAATGCTTTGGATGCGGAGTACTAATAAAAATAGTATAAACAACTTTTTTAAATAAAAGTGACGATAGACTACATACTAGTTACACAACGGGTTTTTGGTGGTATATCATTAAATATACCATGAGTTACTTTTAATTTCAAGTGTAAACAGTTAGGCCTGAAAGCTTCATGCCAATCAAAACCAGTGCACAGCTATTTTATCCCACACTAATAAAAATAAAGAGACCTTTAGTCAAGAAACCCAAAGCACTGTATATGCGTAATGCCTGATGGGAAGAAACAGCCAGCTGAGTTGACTGTGTTGACCAAACGGAATTATGGGACTGAGTACAATGTAGATTACTCTTGATTATTGAAATGGAATTTCCACCATGCGTGAGCTAAACTAGCGTTTACGAAAGATTTAAAGAATGAATAATTTGTATTTCATGGGTTCTCTTGGCAGAATAATGGATAATGCCAATCACAGGCATCCCAGCCACTTTTTAGACAAATTTGATAGGAAATATAGGCTGTGCAAGTTCTAAATATAGGAAAATATAG